ACTGGAAATGTTGTTCTCCTACCTGGAACCGCAGGTACTGACGATGCTGCGGGCATATCGTAATATGGAAGTAGGCATCCTTCAGATCGATTGACGCCATCCACGCATTCCGAGTGATTAGCGGCAGAATAGACTGAAGCGTCACCATACGGAACTTTCTTTTTCCGATGTATCGGTTCAGCCCTCTCAGGTCCAGAATGGGCCTCTTGGACCCGTCTCTTTTCGGGACCAGGAAGTACCTCGAGTAGAAGCCCCTTCCCCAGTGACTTATGGGCACGGGCTGTATTGCGCCCTTTCTCAGGAGGTTCACGATCTCCTCCCACAGCAGCGCGTGGTGTCTCTGGGCGCGACTCGAATTCTATTGCATACCCAGTCCTTATAATAGTCAAAACCCAGTGATCGTTTGTGATCTGTTCCCACATACTGATGTAGGGTCGGAGCCGAGTGCCCGATCCTAAACTGCCGGTGCCGACAGCGCACCTGGATACCCAGTCCTTATAATAGTCAAAACCCAGTGATCGTTTGTGATCTGTTCCCACATACTGATGTAGGGTCGGAGCCGAGTGCCCGATCCTAAACTGCCGGTGCCGACAGCGCACCTGGGCATGGCTCCCACACCGTCAAAAGGACTGCTTAGGCTGCTGAGTGGCCCTCTTGGTGGGTGCAGCCCTCGGTCTCTGCTGGTACTGTTGTTTAGAGACATATGGGCGGCGTCTCCAGGTCTCTGGATGGGGTGGAGACCGGGGGCGCCGGACATACTGCGGCCTCCATGGCCTCTGCCTTTGGGGCCGCTGGTGGTAGGGCGTGTAAACTCCCAAGTTACGTGCGCGCTTGCGGCTTTCGTCCACATCTCTGAGCGCATCATCGGTGGATTTATGAAACAGCCCGCAGCCATCAAACAGAAGGTCTTCAATCCGTTGCTTGACATCCGGTTGGAGCGTTGTCGATTTCAGCCAAGCATGTCTGCGTAGAGCCACTGCGGTAGCCATAACTCGAGAAAAACAAGAGACGGAGTGTCTCACCGTCGCTACCTGCTGCCTAGCAACTCTACGGGATTCCTGGATCACGCCCAAAGTTGCCGCTCTACTCTCCGCGGGTAACTGGTCCAGGTGGGTCTCGATCGTATTAGAGAGGTTAAACAAATACGCTGACATATAAGAGATGTATGTCTGCATTTTAGTAGCAATTGAAGTGGCCGCATAGATTCGTCTAGCCATAGAGTCCACCTTCCGCCCCTCTCTGTCGGGCGGAACCAGGTAGCGGGATTGCTTTTTCTTGGACGAGGAATGTACTACAGTAGAATTCGGTTCCGGCTAGGACTGTAAGGAGCAGTCGCTATCTCCACATACCCTATACATTGTTTCATATCTCCTAGGGATAGGTGGTATCGAAGCCGGTCTACTCCAGGCTTCCTGCAGAGTAGTCATATGCACAGGAAGCGTCGGTAACACAAAAGGAGCAGGCCTAGCCGCCTGCATCATATCATGTACTAAGTCTGCGACAGGGGGCTGGTCAGGCGTTGACTGTATACCTAACGCCTTGGCCAAGTTCTGCATCAAGTCCACAAAGCCCCCATTGTCCACTGAGGCAGGCAAGGCATGCTGGACATCTGTGTCGCGCCGGGTCGGGTCATCAAGGTATCCCTCTGGTGTGGACATTGTAGGGGCAAGGGACTGCTCCAACAAAAACACTTTCAGGCGAGCCGCTCTATTCTTCCTCGCCTGACTAGTAAAACTCCGGCAGTGTTGACAGGAGCCGGGTCTGTGCTCCTCCCCCAAGCAGCACAAGCAACAGCTGTGGCCGTCCGTTAGGGGGATATTCGCTGAACAGCTCAGACACCTCTTAAAATAAGGCGTGGGTCCCATAGACCGACCCTTGCCCAGGGCAATTAGTGATGTGTGAAAAGACAATTAACAGTTACTTTGTTACAGTTGAGGAGGCTTCCCCGGACGACGGGGGAAAAACGTCTTCTCAGGAGGCGGTTAAAAGAGAACTGAGTGGGGGCGGAGTCCGCCGTAGCTGTTGAGCATGCTCAGATGGTGCGTGCTGCACGAGACTGGGGAGGACTCCGCACTTGGAAAGCTGTCGCTAAAGCTTATTAGGCTTCCCGACGGAGGTTTAACGCAAGCGTGAAACCCATGGTGTGTGACCTGCACAGAGACCACGAAGAAGATGCATTGTTCTCACACTGAATTTGGCTCTGTATCATTATCATGTAGTCAAATCTGACTGGTTGTGAGACATTATGTCACATGGCCTGTCAGCTGGGATCACTTCACAAAGAAGTCCTTTTTTTTAAAACAAAACACGGCACCAAAGCTACAGATTGCAGGGTGAAGAAGTTTATTAATTTGTTTATTTCATTTATATCCCACCTTTCACTCCAATGGGGAACCAAAGGGGCTTACATCATTCACCTCTCCTCCATTTTATCATCACAACAACCCTGTGAGGTAGGTTTGGTTGAGAATTTGTGACTGACTGAAGGTCACTGAGGAAACTTCCACGACATGAGTGGGGCTTCAGACCTGGCACTCTCAGATCCTAGTCTGACCCTTTAACCACTACGCCATGCTGGTTGTGAACAGACAGCAAAAAGCACCTCAAAAAGATAAGTAAAAGAGCAGCTTTTTAAAGTTTTTCCCTTCCCCTTTTGCCATGAAAAATGTGTGGATGAATACTAGGTGCAAATGTATACAGAAAGAAAACCAAGGCCACAAGGGAGGAAAAGAAGAAGCAGGACTTTTTCTTACACCGTCCCCCCCCCGCTCTGTTCCAGAAATCACTCTTAAGCTCCTTATACCAGGAAAACAAACTAAGCTGTCTAGGATGTAGACTAGGGCATGGGGGACTCCAATCAGAATTTTGGTCCGCGGGGGTACTCTGTTGGTTAAGGCTGTCCACCAAAGGAGAACTTCTATTTCTGTTTTCTGCAATAATTCTAGTACTTGAGTAGCAGCCTAGAATATTCCTGTTTTTTCTTCTTTCCCTCTCTGCTCTTTCTTCTATGCTAGGTGATTCTTAAACTATATGTTAATGCTTGTATATTTTTAAAAGCTCCTTTGCTTTTAAACAGCGGCTTGGCTTTTATCCACATGTCTAAAATGCACAGATTAAGGCTTAAACAACATATAATATGGAGTTCCAAAATCTGGCTAGACAGGCTAAACTGGGGGCAAAAAAAGGAATGGTTTGACATACTGGAACTCCTATATTGTAAAATACTTTTCACAAAATTCTATAGCATCCAAAATACATGACAGACAATTATTGTTCTTGGGTTGTTTTTTGAAGTTACAGAGGGCACTGAAATAGCAGACAGCAGTTTTGAGTAGTAGTCAACAACTGACTCAAGCAGGGACCTTGGAACTATCACACAAGTATGACAGAGAAGGTTCACTCAGGCTGTGGTCAGACATGCCATTTGGCACCGAGGGGAAGCGATCCTATTTCCTCTGGTGGAAATTGAAACAGAGTTGCGCGATCACACACACATCCCTTGGCGCTGCGGGCTCAGCCCATCACTGCCTGATCAGACAGCACATTCGGGTGAGTGGTGGGGGTTTTTTCTGCCTTTTTCCTGCATGCATATAAATGAGGAATTGAACCCCCGCGGCAGTCTGTGACTATGGATCGCTTATACGATTATGCGCATACCACTAAGCAAGCAAAAAAAATGGCGCCGAGTTGGGATGGACTGGGCAGCCCATCCCAATGGCTTGAGTGTGCTTGTATGAACAGACAGTGGAAAGTCTGTCGGTGGCCCGTCAGAACCAGTTAGAACCAGACTTTCCTAGGTGTTGCTGTCTGATCATGCCCCTTAGATCTGTTGGGCATTCACAGCTGAGTTGGATCGAAAGGCACATCTGATCATAGCCTCACACACATACCTGTGAGGCAGTACTTTGGAGTTTCATTAAACCATTCTCCAGCCTCTCAATCTTGGCAATGAGCTCTGCTCTTTTCTTAGCAAGCAAGTTCTGGTAGAGTTTGATCTGTTCAAGGAAGGTCTTTGGTGTGGTATAATTGTAGCGCCTCTCAGTAGCAAGGTAAACCTTGGACATTTCATTGACAGTTTTGTGGACATATGACATAAATAAGCTGATGGAGACCTTGACTTCAAGCTGTAAAGGAATCACAAAAGATTATTTTATAAAACAATGGGTAATCACCAGAGATGCAGTATAAAACAAAATTCTGCAGGAATTTGATTAACTTGAAAAATCAGTTTATGAGTTTTACAACCATGTTTGTTCTCAGTTATTTTTACATTTATATTTTAAGTTCCTTTTTGCCATTTAGAATTTGTTCATTCACTTTGTATTGTCTCCCTTCTTTTTATTACTTCATGATTCATTTTTATTTTATTTTGCTGGCTGTGATCTCAAACACACAGGTACATTTGTTTCCTATAGCATCCACACCATGTACAAATGGCAACTATAAGAATCTCCAGCATCACCTGTCTCCTTGATAGAACTGCACTTGATTAACTGATGTAACTGGATTCCACACAAACAGCGGTGAAAAATGGATTGTCTGACCTAGTTTACTTTGCTGATTTGCTTTTTCATGTATTTTGAAATGTAATGTCTGTTAGTTTGAGCTGGCTACAGAATTAATTTTTGTCATTTCAGCAGTGAGAAAAGAATGGATTACATTGACTCTACAGCCACATTTGTGTCAGTTCCAATCTATATCTACTTCAATGCAGAACAACTGGATCCAAAACAATAATGATATGATCCCTTATGATTGGGGTTAGATCTCCTGAAGTTTTCATGCTTAATAAAAGCAGCAAAAGGGGGATGTAAATTAGATAAGAACAGTATAATTGGGGGAGAGTACATTTTCCCTATGCTATTTTTGAGGGAGAACTGTGCTCCCCTAAAAAGGTGCTATTAGATTCACTTGGGGGGGGGGGATATTGCCTCCTCCAGTACTGTTATTCTAACTAGTTTGTATCCCACCTGAGGCTACTTTTAAATAAAAATGAGAACGCCACCTGATTTCCGCCATCACATCTGTTTTGATTCTAACTTTACAGCTGTTGTTACTAGGATGTACAATGTAAAAATCAAGGAACACAAGTTACTGTTCCATCAGAATGCATATTTGACAGCGAACTCAGTTATGGAATTACTGGTATGCGGTGGCAAAATGAATGTTGCTATAAGGATCTGAGGTTTTGCATACCCTAATTTCTTTGTTATACAACATGAAAATTGCTGTACAATAGCCTATTAATGTTTAATTTACTTAGGATGGGGAAAGGAAGCACAAGTGCTTGTATCTCTAGGGTCCAGAGGTAATGGTTCTGTCTCAAGGCAACACCAATACTAATATAGCTCAACAAGCAAAAGAATAAAGTTGGTTTATTAAGAGAACAAATTTTGGAAGAAAGAGGAGACAGAAAGAGAAGTCTAACTAGCTATGAGAGAGTCAGTAACTAACTGATCTCAGCAGGGTGGGGAAAACCCCAATTGAGCCAATCAAGAGACAGGAAACACAGTATTTGAAAAAAGTAGGAAGTCCCTAATATCGCTATGCTAACTAACTGTCTCCTCTGCTGCCTCCTGCAGGATGTTCTTGTCATTTTCCTTATCTATGCACAATAGACCTTGAATATTCCAACAGGTCCTCCCGGTTCTAGCCAGACATACTAGCCACTACACTACACTGGTTCTCTTTGGCTGCTGCACGTATCAGAAAAATGTGACAGTGATTTCTTTTCATGACAGGAAAGCTCCAGGTAAAGATCAGTAAAGCTGGTCTTTTAGCCTCTGTTATGAGGAAACTGATAACAGTGGTCTTCAAAAGAAGTAAAATTGCTTAGCTATCAGAACGTCTGTCATGCATCTGATCTATACTTTTCAAAGGCTGGAAGGTCTGAGCAAACAATCTTATTTTCTCTTATTTGGGCTGTCAGCTCTAGATATTCATCCTGAGAGTTTTCCTCATTGACCAAATGTTCTTCAAATACTTCCTTACCAGAGTCATTAGCCCTGAGCATCCTATTCATATGGTGTATTTTCATAAAAAGATCTTTGCTCTATAAATAAATAGTTGGTATCTTACCTTAGGGTCATTCTTTAGCTGGTAATTATGCAGTGCTATTCATGTGAAATTCAGTATGCAAGGGGACCTCTCATAACTATCAGATGTTACTCTACCATTTGTGAGATTGCCATCCACTATCCATGGCTTACTAAAAAGAGATGTTTTAAAACCTGGCTGAAATTGGCTGGACCAGCAAACTCACAAAATGGAGCCATGCTGTATGCGTGAAATGGTAGGGAAGAAACAGATTATTTCTAACTGGGACTAAACCATCATTTTAGAATTAGTTGTTTACATCGGTTTTTCAACTCAAATTCTTTGCCTGTATGTCTGTTTTCTTAGTAAAGATATGATTGTATATAAAATATTCCAGAAGGCATTGTGTTGGTTTGCCTAGTATTTCCTGAGCCTTTTTAGCTGCAAAATACTGCTGGTCTTTATCCTACATAGATACACACAGCAGTTTTGGAGTGGTTCTCAGGTTTGTTTCAGGTTGGGGAAACACTGGGATATTTGGTTAATATAGCCAAAAAGATAAACTTACATTTATTCACACAGATCCAGTTCACATTCAGGTTGCAGTCAAAAGAAGAGAGACAAGCCTAATCTAAAGAGTACTTTCCCTATCACAAATGGCCATCATGTGTGTGGGAGTATGAGGGCATTGTCTCCACAGGAGAGACCTGCAGAGACATGATGTGTCTCCACAGAAGGCCATGTGAACTGTGTGAAGACAAAGACAGAGAAAAGGTCAGAGGGCAGCTTCCAGAGAGGCATCCCATTCCAGGAGATAACACCTATACATGCTTAGAGTGATGTAGTCCCCCCCCCCCGCAATGTCCATGCATGCTGAGTCGCTCACTCCAACAGTACCATGGTCCCAATCTGAATCAGGCCACAGCTTGCCTGGGAACTGAGCTTCCAGCATGGAACTCCATGACCATATCTGTTGACAATCCATGCTTTGCCACACGGATTTTGGAATATGTGAGTCAGCCATGAGTCTAGGAACAGAGATAAAGAGAATGTCCTTGAGGACTTCATAAGGTAGATGGGGGGGCTCTCACTATAACAGACTAAGCATAATGCTATTTGCATAGGGATGCTGGGTGACACTATTGGTCGGATGACTTGACCCACCTATTGTGTTGGCATTGCTAAAAATAGCACTGCTGTAAGATCAGGCTTACCTCTATTCCGTCAGTCTCCTCTAAGAATCTTGCACTGACAGACACCAATGCATCTTCAGGCCATTCATGAAACCAGTCAATAGCTGTGCAGTTCACTACAGCAGGGAACTTCCTTGCCCGCACACGTAGGGTAGAACCCACAGGAGAAAAGCACAGGATAACCTAGAGACAGAAAAAAACAAGTCCCTCAGTGTGCAAGATTGCTGGTGACATTTTAAAAAGTGCTATTATACAGTCAAAGTCAAAATCTTTTATTACAGTCTATGACCAGAATAATAAAATTAACAATAAAAACAGTCAAAAGAGGATCAAAAAAGAGAGCAAATAATTATTAGTCTAGCGGTGTGCATTTGGCTAAATCCGAGCTGGAAAAGTATTTGAAAAATACCTTATCAGCATTTTCCAGCTATTCTTTCAGCCGGATATAGATTGGAGCTGTATTTTGGCTATCCGAAATAGCCAAGTCTGAAAAATCCTGAAAATATTCGGAATTTTTCAGGACTGCCAGGTAGTCAAAGTTAAAGGACATTTAAAAAGATTGCAGTCCCTTTAAGTGCCTTCTGGTTGAAATCACCACTTGGAGAAGGTGTTTAAAGGGACAGTGAGCCCTTTAAATGCCTTCGGAGTTCACTCATGCTGGGCTGTGGCTTGTGATCTCTTTAAATGCCTTGCCCCCCCTTCCATTGACATAAATGGAGGATAGGGGCACCTTCTTTGGGGGCCCAAAGAATTGGACCCCTGTTCCAATCTTTTTGAAACTTGGTGGTTCTTCTGAGGAGGGGCACCAGCAGCTATGCTGCAGATTTGGTGCCTCTCAAAAAACTGCCCCCCGAGCCCCGGATACCCCCGGATCGATTCTTCATGGGGACCATTGACTATAATGGTCCCCACAGGGTATAATGGAGCCAAAAAACTAGAGTTTCCCGAATATTTACCAACTCTGAATGCCATACTGGTATTGGGATTTGGGAATATTGGGAGTACCAATATTTTTTGGGTCCAATATACCCAAACCTGAAAGATACCAGGGGTTTTTTTGCACATCCCTATATTGGTCTTTAAAATATTGATCAAAATTCTCTCTGTAAGGATTTCCTTCATGCTCTCTGCACTACAAGGGAAAAACAGATGCCATTCTGTCTGTGTGCTGCCTTCCATTCATGGGGCATCTTAGGTTGCTTGTGGTCTGGAGTTTCCAGTGGCTTACAGACAGCTTCGTTAATTCCTGTGCCATCCTCTCTAACTGCCCATTAAAGGTGCCAAATTCTGTCTGCTGAGGTCAGTGAAACAAAAAGAGACTTCTCTGGTAGAAGAGTGCTAGACTAGGACTGGGGAGACCTAGGTTCAAATCCCTTTTCTACCATAAAATTCACTAGGTGGCCAGTGGGTGATAAGGCTGCCAACCACCAGGTGGGACCTCGAAATCTTCAGGAATTACAAATGATCTCCAGGCTAGTGAGCTCAGTTTCTGTGGAGAAAACTGCTGCTTGGGAGGGTGGACTCTATGGCATTATACCCTGTTGAGGTCCTGCCCCTCCCCAAACCCCTTCCCAGGCTCCACCCCCAAGTCTCCAGGAAAGTCCCAACCTAGTGTTGGCAACGCTAGCCCCTGGGTGGAAGGATGGGGTAAAAATGAGGAAGATTTTGTAATTTGTTCCCCTTTAAGAAAACTCACCTCTCAGAAGAAGTGTGTGAAATATTATTTCTTCAAAAAGAACATTTCTGTCTCAGAACAGATGCAGAAGAGGAAAATGAAATCCAGTGCACAGGAGAGTGGTGCCCCACAGGCAGAAGGTGACTGGGAAGAAAGGACTAAAGGGCTCCTGTTTGGATTTCTGAGGAAAACTTGCCTAACTCTGGCCCCTGCCCCACGGGGGGGGGGGGAGTACGGTCAAAGTGCGGCTTTTTAAAGCCACACCAAAAGAAACACACGGCGGCGGGATCACATAGATCCCCTGAGCCGCCGCGCAGCTCCTCCCCGGCACGATCAGATGCCGGGGGGAAGCCACTGATGGGAGACTGAGGCTGCCGAACTGCGCATGTGTGAGCATGCACAGTTTGGCCGGGAACCTGGATTGCTCCAGAAGATGGGCACGCCGGCGATCGTACGGCCGCACTTGCTGCGGTGTACCCGGTAAGTCCTCTTCTGTTGTTGTTTTTTACAGCGCGTTATTGGCCTGAAGGAACGGATCGGGGACGGGTGCAAGCCGATTCCGAGATGTTGAGGTGTGCTTGCGCCCGTTTGCTGTGCCCCCGATCCGTCCCTCTCCTGGGCCAAAACCTCCCGTGTGACCGGGGCCTCTCTCTGGTAGATGAACTAACTGGGTAGCAAAGAGGATCCTGCATCACTTACATCCAAGGGCTTCACTTGATTTATTGCCTCACCTTTTGGGAGGCAATTCAGATCCCCTTATGAAAACTGTCCAAAACAGCTAAGCCATCTGCGTGAAGTTTTGCTATGTAAACATTTTGTTAATGTGAGTTTTTAGATTTATGTTGCTATGGGTTAAAAGTAGGCCCCTGGATTGATTAAGTGTGCTTGATGGGTGATTGACAGGTGATTGAAGTGTGGTATGATAGGGTGGTAGATGTACCTTCGGGGGCAGAGTTGACTCATTTTGTGGGTGGTAAAGAGTGAAGTGCTGTGAGAGAAAGTTATTAGCCAAAGTGGAAAGTTAGGAAATTAAACTTTGCGGAAGTTATTAGTGTAAGTGGCAAATGAGAAAATAAGCCTTCGTGGCTAGATCTATATAAGGAACTTTAGAGAAACAAGATGTACTGATCTGAAACCATATTAACCATACAGAAACCATTATGCTGTTTTACTTCTAAACAAGCTCTATGTTTAAGTAAAAACCGTTTTATTTAGAGCCACCCCCACATGTTGACTGCACTGTCATTCCATCAAATATAGCTAACCCATCCTGTTCTGTGGGTCCCACTAAGGATTCCTGACCTGGATAGCCCAGCTGCTAAACAGGGTCAGCCCTCGTTAGTATTTGGATGGGAGACCACCAAGGAATACTAGGGTTGTGACACAGAGGCAGGCAATGGCAAAACCACCTCTGAAACCTCTCTTGTCTTGACAACCCTACAGCATTGCCTTAAGTTGGCTTTAAAAAAATATATTTATGGCCCCGGTCACATGGCCCAGATAACGCGGGGGGGAGGCGTGGCTTTTCGCGCCAACGCAATTTAACGCACCAGAATGTGATCAGATGGCGCGGTGGCAAAGTGGGGTTTTCTTTGTCGGTGTGTGTTTTTGGTGTGCGTCAAGAGTGTGCTTGAGCGATCACACGTAGGTATTCCGTCGACGGCCCGTAGCAAACCGTTTGCTAGTAGGCTTTCCCAGGTATTTTTTAACTCTGGATCTTTGGGCGGATGCTGCAGGTCGGCGATGGGTGTGCTACGCTTGCCAGATGTGTCCTTGTGATCATGCACATATACTCTGCCCGACATTCATGCCTCTCCCGCTGCAAATGCTGCGTGTGAACAGAGCCTATGTTACTTATAGTCTTTCTTTCTCACAGTGACTCAAGGCGGATTACACATAGTGAGTCAGTACAATCAACAAAATGGGACATTCAATAACCAATGCATTAGGTTGTGACTTGATGGCGAAAAAGAAAGAAGAAAAATTCTAAGGCAATAACCTTATGTGGTAGTAATCCACAGGGGGAAAGGCTCTACCCCCAAATCTCCAGGAGTGTCCCAACCTGAAGCTGGTAACCCTCCTTGCAATGCATCCATCACTATTGGAGGACTTTCAGTAGAAGCAAAAGCCCCAAACCTGGAATTGAAGCTGGGCATTTGACTGCATTCTTGGCTCTGCAGACATTTACCACAGTATTATGTACAGTAGGGCTCCTTTAGGCTGTTTCATGAGTCATTCTTCTCAGTGACAAGTTCACCAAAGCAGAGATGTGTGGGTTCTGGGAAAATTTTCCCTTGAGGCTAGTATGTCCTTACAATTTTCTTTTTTACCCTTCACATTGGGACTAGGGGTGTGCAAAAAAAAAAAAATTCAGCCCGATTCGGATTCGGCGGAATCGAGCAGAATCAATTTCGGCCGGCATAAAGACTCCTGCATGTCAATTTCGGCAGTAGGAGCCGGAGTCTTTCGGCCAGCCGAATGTCAGTTTCAGCCCCATTATATCCTATGGGCCATTGAAGTCAATGGCGAAAACATAGGGTATATTCTGGGGGCTGGATTACTTTTTTCCCACCATAGAGAACAATGGAGGGGATAGGGGCAACCTATTTGGGGGCCTGTAGAATTGGACCCCTGGTCCAATGTTCTTCAAACATGGTTGATATCTTAGGGAGAGGCTCCAGCAGCTACCCTGTGAGTTTGGAGCCTCTCCCTCAAACCCCCTCCCCTCCAGCCCCCAGACTATACCCCATGTTTTCGCCATTGATTTCAGTGGCCCATAGGATATAATGGGGCTGAATTGCCGCCGAAATTCGGTGGCAATTCAGTGGCAAGCCTGAATCGGCCTGCAGAAGCCCGAAAGGGGTCCGAATAGGCCATTTTCGGGGGTGCATTCGGTTCAGATGAACCGAATGCACATCCGTAATTGGGACAAATACTTGAAGTACATTTTCATGCCTGCAAGGCATATTCTCTAATTGTGGTATCTATATATCTAATAGCCAAGTTGCCCCCTCCGTGCGGATATCTATATCTGCACTTTGGGGGCACTTGGGGGGCAGGGAGAGTTTTGTGCACTCTTGGGGCAGTCCCCAGGGGTGCACAAAAATCTGAAAACTAAAAAAAAATATCGGGGAATGTTTAAATCCCCCCGAAAGTGCCAGAGCGTTCGTGCGCATGCGCACGAACGCTCTGTAGCCAACCTTGCCGCTCTGCAACCGCTGCTGCCGACGCTGCTGCTTGGAAGGCCCACTCCTAAACCGCCCAACCATAAACCCTCCTCCGCAAAACACAACACTCCTGGGCCAAAAAGAGGTGGGTGCAGCCAGCCCGGCTCCCCTAGAGAGAAGAGGAGAGGGAAGAAGTGAGCCAGGCCATCCCGCACCCCCATCCCCGGGTGACAGAGAGCTCTGGCTGGGCAGAGAGGAAAGACATTCCTGCCGTCCGGCCTCCCCTTACTCCAAGTGCCGGGAGAAGAAGGGGGGGTCAAGCTAGGCCCAGTCTCGGGGCCCCGAGCGGGCATACACGGACCTGGTGCAGCGCGGTGAGTCCGTCCACATTGGCGTAGTTGATGTCGGCGCCGTGCTCCAGCAGGCGCAACACCTCCTCGGTGTCCCCGATCGAGCAGGCGGCCAGAAAGACGGCTCCGCCGTCGAATGTCACCTTCGTCTTCTTGCGCTTCACCACGGGCGGCTCCTCTTCCCCCTCCCCACCACAGAACGCCCCAAAGGGCTGCCCGAGAATCCCCGCGCGCCTGGCCTATCTCGCTCTCTGGCTGGTTAGCACACGCTTGAGGGAAAGGAGGAGGGGGAAGGGAAAACACCCGGCTTCCTCGACGTGGTCTCGCGAGATCCCTGAAGAGACGAAGCAGCGGCCGCGAATGAGGCTCCCTTGAGCAAGCTCTGGGCAGATGGGAGGGAGTGAAGAAGCTTCAGAATTAAGCGAGGGCGGGCCTACGGGGGTGGGGGACGAAGTTGGCGTTATTGTTCGGTTTCCGTGATGAAAGGAGGCCTGACTGACCAGCTCCTCCATTCGCTAACCCGACCGAGTCCAACACGCACTGGGGGGGGGGAGACCGTCCTTTGCATTGGTGAGAGCTGGAAACCTGGTCCCCACGAGTTCCGCCTTCTGACTGGAGATCTGTTTGGAGCTCTGCCTCCCCCCCCCGCGAGTATCGCGGGTCCACCCCTTGTAATGTTTTCTAAATCCCATAATCTCTTGACTCACATCTGTCATCACAAAATAGTCTAGCTGTGGAAGTAAACCTGTATTGTGGTACCACAGCAAATGTTTTTTTCGAACAGCTTTTTCTAACAGCTGATGGAATGATTTTTATAGACCCTTCATTATCATGTGCATCTATTATTGCCTACAATAATGGTTTTTTCTCCTCAAATATCGTTGGGACATTCTAAATTTCAGAACCATCTCCTGAAAGGTGGTTCTTTAGACTCTGATTTGATTAACTGGGAAATTAGCTTCTTCTTGAGCCTTTAATTAAACTGGTAATAGACTCTCTTATACATGTAATCACTTTCAGTCAGAATGCAATATATTTTATGCACAAGTCAAATATGTAATTGAAGTGAAAAAAGCAGTGTTACCTTAAGTTGCTTTCGGACTTTGTCAATGAAGAACTTCCAGCAGTTTTCCCTAGTATCTTGCATGCCAAGCGATTTCACCTGAGGCCTCATGGAGCCAATGATGTTCTCCACTTCATCATCCTGAAATAGCCCTGGGATTTCACCAGATGCCAAAAGATCATTGATCAATACCAAGAACTGCTCTTCAGCTACCTGTGAGTCAGTCATGAGAAATACGGTGGGGGTGTTCTTCACAGCTGCTTTGATGTACTGAGAAGCCAGGTCAGCCTGAACCACAAAACAGACACAGTTTCTTACATTAAAAGTTTCATTTGGATCATTTCTGGAAAAGCTCACAAGTCTGGTACAGGAAAGAAGCAATATTTGTACTGTGAAAGAAGAACCAAAGATCAATAGCAAACAGTCAGGATTGAGTTCTATTTTACGTATTTATTTGATTTTTACCCTGCCCTCCCCACCAAAGCAGGCTCTGAGCAGCTTTCAAAATGAAGTCATACCTCTAAACTGGAGAAGCTTGATCCTCACCCTTACATGGTACAGGGGTACTCCCCCCACCCCCCAAAAATAGGCAACAGTAGTCTGTGGGAGCAGGAGATGGGCCAGGAAAAATTTGAAGCCATGGAAAACTATTTGAGGGGAGATGGTGGGAAAAAACAGGTTGCTTACCTGTAACTGATGATCTTCGAGTGGTCATCTGTGCAGCCACACACAATGGGTTTCACGCCACCGTTGAACCCTCTCCGGGAAGCCTAGAAAAGCTTATAGACTCCTGACATGGTGTCCACCTCAGTCCCATGCAGTCTTCTCTACTGAGCATGCTCAGTGGCTGAGGCAGACTCCGCCCCTTTCCCCCCAGTTCCTTCCTTCACCACCGACAATTTCTATACGCTATGGCACTCATAAAGGATGTCAGCAGTGGGGATGGTCCGGGTGGGCGTGTGTGACTGCACAGATGACCACTCGAAGATCATCAGTTACAGGTAAGCAACCTGTTTATCATCTTCGTGGTCTCTGTGCAGTCCACACACAATGGGTGACTTGCAAGCTAAATACCTCTCTGGATGGTGGGTGCTGGCATCTATCGAGGCTGCAGTACTTGACTCAGAGACAATTTTTTTTACTGACATGTCATTTCAACATTGCAGTATTTATTTTCAACTCTTGAAACACAGATCCCCTTCACACAAAAAGAAAAACCATAAATGCTTAATTTTTTTTAACAGATCAATGTTGCATACATGCGCAGTACTGCTCTTTAAATCTAACTGCTACTTCGACTTTAAACGAACAATAACATTGTAAACTATGCACGAGATTACGATCCCTCTGTACCCACTGACATAACACTCACTGACATAACACTCTCTAACATAACAATCCATTACTTTGTCAGGAGAAAATTGATTTGAGAACTGCTTGGCCAAAGTGAGCCTCTTTCCTGGCCCTAACATCCATCGCGTAATGTGCTGTGAATGTTGACGGGGAGGTCCACGTTGCCACAGCACAAATATCCTATAACGACACTCCCGCTACAAATGCTGTGGAGGTTGCTACAGCTCTAACTGAGTGTGCCCTTGGCATTTATGGTAATGGAATGCCTGCAAGTTGGTAGCATAAGGCAATTGCAGACGAAACCCATTTTGAGAGTCGCTGACTAGAGACTGGTTGGCCCAGTTTTGGGTTGGAGTAACATACAAATCCCTCCTAATTTTTTTGGTTCTAGCTAGATAGAAAGCCAGGGACCTGCGCACGTCCAATGCATGAAGTGCCCTCTGGCCCTCATCTGCTGGTTTGGGAAAGAAAACTGGCAGGGTGATATTTTGAAATAAATGGAACAGTGAGACCACCTTTGGCAGAAAGGATGGATCAGTTCTAAGCATCACCCGATCAGCATGAAAAATTGTGTAGGGAGAGTCGGCCCTCAATGCACAGAGCTCACTTGCCCTCCGTGCTGAAGTCAGTGCTACTAGTAGTGCCAACTTCCACGTGACTAAGTGTATAGGGCCAGTTGATAAGGGCTCGAATGGCCATCCCATTAGTTTTGCCAGAATCAAGGACAAACTCCACGTTGGTATGAATGGTCTCTTTGGTGGGAGAGTATTCAACAAACCCCTCAGGAAAACCTTGACGGTCAGGTGGGAGAAAACCAATCTACTGTCTAAGAGATCATGGGATGTTGATGTAGCAGCCAGATACACCCGTATTGAAGAATAACTCAACCCTTCCTTATACAACTTTGTTAGAAATGTTAGTATTGTTTGTAGCGAGGCTCTCACGGGTTCTGCACCCTGTCCCTTTGCAAAAGAGACAAAACGTGCCCAAAACGTGTAACCATATGATGAAAGATAGGACACGTATGTTTGCATCTTAGCAGCAATTGTTGTGGCAGCATAAATCTTCTTTGCCACTGAGTCTGTTTTACGCCCTTCCCTGTCCGGTGGGGCCAGATACCTCGATTGCCTTATCTTCGAAGAAGAGTGAACTATCGCAGAGTTTGGCTCAGGCTGAGACTGTAGAAATACATCGTTATCGCCCTGTACCCCATACATACTCTCATACCGCTTTGGTATAGGTGGTATTGATGAAGGCTTGTTCCAAGCTTCCTGTAAGGTTGTATGGTGTACTGGTAGTGTAGGTAGTACAAAGGTTGTTGGTCTCTCTGCCTGGAGCATATCATGGACAATGTCTGTAACGTGAGACAGGCTAGTTGGAGACTGTACTACCAGCACCTTAGCCATATTCTACATCAGGTCTGAGAAGCCTTTGATCGTCTCCTGGCTAGGCAGGGTTTGTTGTGACTCCAAATTGTTCCCTGTCGTCTCATCTTGCTCACTCTCTCTGTGTGAACCACTGTACTCTGTGTCTGGTTCCGAATCTCCAGGCAAGCTAAAATGCTGTGTGTTTGCAATTGTGTAGACTTCACTGTCTAAGGTCGCATAACTACTGTTGTGATGGTCTTCTCAAAGGGGAATGCCCCCTATGCACCTTGGGTGTTTGGTGCTCTGAATGCCAGTTCATTCCCTCATCATGCCCAGCTGCTTTAGTGGGATGTGCCCTGGAGCGCCTATCATGACGAGTACCCCCTGCTCCATGTGAGGGGGATTGAGACCGTGAGCACACATCACAAGGGAGCCTTGCAGCTCCTTTGAAGCTTCAGTGGGAGGGGCCCGGTACCGATGGATCAGGGCTCCAGTCACCCCACTCTGTTGAAGTACGCTTCGGAACAGATGCTGGGTGAACTGTAGCC